AGAACAGTTAAATCATATTCGAGAGGAGCAAAATCAGGATGATGTGTAACTGCATATGGTCACCGTGCAAAAACTGTTTCAGCCCATCAGCTCTTGGCCCCTCCTTGCCTCTTGAGAAGGGTGTGGGACCACTACACCAGTAAAACCAGATTTGTAGATAACTTCTCCAGCCAATGTCACCCTCTCCAAAGAAACCCTGACCAGGATAGGCACAAGAACAATTTACAAGGGTGACAACAAGCAATGGTCTATATATCCATGGCACAGCCTTCATCAATACTGTGAATTTCATCCTAATATTTTCAGCAGTGCACACGTAGTTTCTATCACATCTGTCACAGCTAACACTTACAGTAGTATCTAATCACTCTGTAAGGGTGGTATGAAAATGGAAATAATCTCAGAGAAAACTTAAAAAAAAACTCGAACACACAAAGTCAAAGGAAAGGTCAATAAATTCTCAAACCGAGAATCATCAATATATTATGCTAAATATTAATGGTCTTCAAGGTCAATGTTTTCCCTGGCATTTACAGTAATAATGTGAACTATACAAAACTAAATGTGTGAAATGGACATAAACCCATAATGCATTGATGCACATCAATTAAAAAAAAAAGAAAAGAAAATAAGAAAGACATAGTAATTGTTTTAAATGGCTTCTGATTCTAACCTTGCTTATTCCCTGCCCTCTGAGTGCCTGTTAAAATAAGGGAGCAGGTCATTCAGCAGAAAAAGCAATTATAAAATGCAAATGACTGAGCATTTATTGTCAAGATTGGCTAGATAAAAAAGGTCTGATAATAACATGTTTCCAAGTAGATGACATAATTAGATGTTTGTATCATAAACAATGGGAAATAATACAAGCCTTTAGCATTTTCAGAAAGGCTGCAATTAAACAGTAAGTAAGCATTGTGACATAAATTTTATTAAAAAGTGACAATTAAACTTCCCTCTCAGAAATTAGAAGGCACCATCTTGTGGTTGCTCTGCAGGAATGCAGGAATGTCAGGACAACTTCTGACCTACCATCTCCTCCTACCCTTTCCCACTGTGCCAACTGGAATATCAACATTCTACCATAGACAAGGATATGTGCTCTGCCATTCCCAGCACTTCCTCTGAAGGAAACAGTGAGATTATGTACTAGGCAAGACTAGAAGAGTTATCTAGTCCAAAATACACTCCAGGTTATCACATTATTAAAATATGTGTGTGAAGTAGAAAATTCAGAATTACTAGCAATCATAGCAAAACCACATTTAATTTCTAATAAGCTTAAGATCAAATTGTACCAAAACTTAAAGACTCTGTAGCTCATTAAAGCTGCATGAATTTTTGAGCCAGTTATGATCAGGAAGTCTTGTTCCTGCTATCCTTACATTATAAAAACATGTTTTGAGAATTCTGCATAAAGTGTTTTGAATTATTGTATTAATTTCAGACAAAAGTCATCCAGATAAATTTGTGCCATCTCTGAAGACATAGTCTTGAATTCAAGTCACAGCTCAGCATTCAGAATTTCTTCTTCCATGGAATCTGCAGTTGTAAGTAAAAAAGTTCTATATGTAACACATGTATATTCCTAGCTACTGATCTCTGCTTTGGGCCCAGTTCTGCCAACTGCTCAGACACCGTGCCTTGAGAGATAAATTATCCACACTAATCTTTCTCAACTCAATTGTGCAGCTGAGCAGTGAACTATTTACCATGGAATGTTCAATAGCTTTTGTCTTCCCTGTAAATGTATATAAGATATAAACAAGTATTAATGTACTTACTGATTTTATTGCATTTATAATAAATTATAAATTAATCACTATTTCAGAGAGGTTCATTTAACTGATGTTTGTGTTATGATTTGATGGTATAACTCCAGGTATATTTTGCTGGCATTACTGTTTCAGTACATGCTGAGATTTAATCTAGTACTTTTTACTATAGGAAGTGTATCTCTTAACAAATAGTTAAGGTATGTACGTCATTTTACATTATTTGAAATAATAATAATGGTTCAAAATTAATAAAATTTACATCTGCTATTTTTTACACAGGCATACCTAGTTCCAGCCTGCTGAAGGCTCAATGAGTTTTGAAAGGCTAGAAATGATAACAGAATTTAATCCATATACAGCTTTTTTCACTTTCAGATTTTCTGGATTTTCTGGAAAATAGTTAGCAATTTAGGACACTTACTTTCAAGCAAGTTAGCTTTAGTAAGTGCCAGTAACTGGTAGTCTAACAGTGATAACATCCAGGCTTTTCTTTTGAATGGTGTCAATAAAAGAGGAATTTCTCTCTGTCTGGAAAGTGTGTGGTGGCATAAAATCATCTGTTTCACAGAAAATCTCAGAAGTATCATATGTTTGCTTCGGACTTTTAAACATATCAGGGGCATGGATGTTTTGAACCATCTTTTCTTACAAGATGCAACATTTTTTATTTTAGCAAATCACACCATTTTATCTGCTGTTTTTCTGAGCTTGATTCCTTTCAAGATTTCACTCCTCCAAATAGGTTCACACCAGACAATATCTCTGCTTATGTGCAAGCTCCAAGAGAAGGGTGACATAAAAAAATTCTAAAGCCCCATATCTATATTATACAATTTCAATTTGTGTTGCCTCCCTGCTGGAAGCACACCTGAGTATTTTGTACACATTAAAAAGCAAACACCCATGGCTGCTTCTAACTCAGGATACTTCATATACTCAGCAGCTGAAATGATCTGATTCATTTCATCTCCTTGGCTCTTTGTATGACCTTTGTTCTTCCCTCTTTCCAAATATTGACAAACGCTATGCCAGAATGATACTCTGATTCTGAAGGGATGAAACCACAAATGTTACCAAAAATAGGTACCGCCTCTCTCCCCATGGGATATCCAAAGCAGCATTATTTGCATTGTTTGCTCATCTCAGCAGGGACTTGTCGAGACTGGAGACAAATTACAGGATTTCTCATCTCGCCCTAGGCTGCTGTTGCTCCCTCTCCTAGGCAAAGGGAATCTGCTGCTCTGGGAGAGGTTGAAAGAAGATGTTTCCTGAAAGTCTTTGGGTGCTGCAAAGAGTGGGTGAAGGGATGCTGGGGTAGGCCATGTGCAGGGATGTGAGCATTATTTTCCCCTTAAGTGCATTTCATAAATAAAACTGCTGTGAAATTTCAATGGTCTGCTGATATCAGGGTATCTGGGAGTAGCAGGGAGGAGATGGAAGGTAAGTGATTGGGGGCAAGGAGGAGAGAAAGGAGAGAAGCCTGACCCAACTCAGCTGCTGCAGATTTATTCCTAACTTTCAAAGTATCTAAATACTTGATGATGAAACATTTCTTGTACAAATGCTGTTGAAAGGTCATATTCCTCCAGTCATTGCTATCTCTATCCAAAACTAATAAACAAACAAGTGGAAGAAAGCAAATACAAAAGAAAAATAGAAACAAAAAAACCTCCAAACCAAACAAACCATAAACACATTCCTCCCCACCTCCACCCTCCAAACTAAAGAACTTCAGGAAACAAATCCTTAATTAGAAAGTTACTGTTTGCTTCCTCTCACAACTTCCAACATGCTGCTATTATCACATATGTATTTACACCCTGTAAAATACTGAACTCATAACAAAATGATTATCAAAGCAGTCCTATTTTCTAATTGAGTGATTGCTAAAAATCCAGAAAAGCTAAACCAAACTTTACCAATGTGTATATAAGATCCATATCCATTTTAAGAATGGACAAATATTATTGATATTTACATGGGTTTCTTAAGTAACCAGCATATTTTTCCTTACATATTCATTTCAGAAACATAACATTCCAATAGTATGCTAACAGAAGGAATTAGCCTGCAGTATTTTAGAGAAGAGGACCTAAAGGGTCCTTTAACAATTAAATGAATGTACCCATGTTCAAACAGTGTTTAGGACCTTGAAACCTCACACTGCCTTAATGTGTGTTAGAAAAAAATTCTTAACAATATATTTATAACAGGAAACTTGAATACCAGAAAGTTGCCTCAAAAGTGAAAACAAATAGCAAATTTTCTGAGTAATGATTCAAGTTACAAAAGCTCACTAGCATCATCTGGAAAAATACCAATATAAATATAGCTTTTGGATTTACTACTGATTTTATTAAATTACATTTCTAAACATAAATTTAAAAATTGTCATAGGTCATAATTTCCTGAAAAGTAAAAAAAGAAGACCTAGCAAAATCCAACAATTTCTCTCAATGTTTAAAATTCAGATTTTGCCATAGCAATAAAATATACTATTTTCTTTTAGGTTTAGACATGGGCACATACATATAGAAATACTTATGTAATTATTATGCAAAAAAGATAACTTCAGCTACAAATTATTCAATATATTACTAGTCTTAGCACAATTACAGTATTCTGGTTGTATAAATTGCAAGTACACAACAAGTTAACAACAGGATTTTCAAAACTGGGTCAGTTTGAAATTACAGGACATCATATCAGTAGTAAACCCACCAAAAAAGAATCATGTTGATGTAACCTTTTCCAGATGTTACCAGGACAACTTTGCAAGTATAAACTCCTATAAAGAACATTTCTATAGAGACATTTTTAGAATTTGACTTTGAGCTACAGACGGTTTGTCTTTTGAAAATCAGAATTATCTGTAGAAGATTAATTTGTTTCCCATTACAGTTTCAGATTTCTTCTTCATCCATAAAATTAACTGCAGTGAACTTCCAGGAGTAAAAAGCTGTCTTTTTTCAGGCTTGAATAAGAGGAGAAATAGTCACTTGTCCTGAAATCTGGCTACAATTAAACACATTGAAGAAAAATTAAAAGCTGTAAATGTTAAACTTCGGATATTTTGCTGTCATCCTTTGTTATACAAATGCTTTACTATAAGCATAAACAATAAATATGCATCACCTACATTTCACTAAATATCACAAAATGTTTAAAATATTATTTAAATAGACCATAAATATAAATTAGACAGGTAATGACAATATTTACCTTTTCCAGCTGAGCATTTTTTTTTGATTTATACAAAAACTCCCCAACTGCCACAAAGACAGAAAGCACCAATCCTGCTGCCAGCACGATGAAGATTCCTCCAATATTTTGAACTCCCAAAGCACTGGCCTCTTTACTTTCCTCTTCTGGGCAACCATTGCCTCTCCACCATTTCTCTTTCATCATATGGAGCTTGCCTTCTTCCTGCAGCTGAAGAATTGCTATAGTGATCTTGTCTCTATATGGAGAACCTGAAGAGACCACAGGGAAGAAATATCATGTGGAATACATTACATGAAACCTTAGTTATTCTGAATAAAAATAAATAATATCTCATGAAAAACAATATCATTAACAGCCTTAATATTAATCAAAAGGCCATTTGCTTCTCAACACAATCACACTGGTGACATAAATACAAATCCACTTGCTCACACAAATATATATCCAGAAAACTTGATCCAGCTGGTTTTGCAGTAAGCCAGGCCACTTGATGCAAAAATTCCTATCACATTTAGTCCCATGGTCTCAAACATCTTCCTGCCCAAATATTATATTCAGTCAAACAGTATTCTTCTTCTAACTTTTTCAATTTTTTCTCAGTAAGTTTTTAAATGGGCTTCAGTAGATTTAGTCTAATATACATAAATCTACAGGTTGTTGCTTCATAGCTTGCTGCTCTAAAGGTAATAATAGGTCTGATATTAAATGAACACTTTAGCCTGTTAGTTTATTAAAAGAGGAGAAAAAAAATTTATACTTCCAGACCAACCCACAAAAGTCTTTATTTGATAGATTTTCAGGCATTTAAAACACCCTTCAACATGCACTTACTTATTAACAGTACCAGGTAGTAAGAAATTTAGAAGGATAAGATTTAGTGTGTTTGAATAGGAGGGACGTAAATTCTCATATTTTGATTTATTTCTTTCTTATAATTCATTATTTTAAAATGACATGATAATTTTGTAGCTTGAGAACATTTCAATATTTCAAGGGGTAGTTCAAAGGCTGATGTCATATCTTTGCATGTAATCTGTTCTCTTTTTCTTTACATTGTGCATAAAGGCTTTTCAAAGATTATTTTAAAACGTACATTGATAATTGAATAAAGGCAATGGAGAAAGCTTTTATTTTCCGAATTTTATAGAGTAAATCATGTCAGTTATAAGTACTTTCTCTGTTAAGATTTGTGCAGTGTTTAAGCAGACAACAAAGCCATCATTTTCTTGGCCTCCTTCAAAGACAGGAACAAAAGACTCTTCATTAAAGTAGTTAAGAAATCTCAGGAAAAGAAGGAAAAGAGTAGATTAAAAGGCATGGCATCCCCTCTTTCAGTTGATATGAATGCAATGCTACAATGTATCCCTCCTCCTTTTCCTTCTATCATCATAATGCTACTTACTGGCTATAGTTTTTAGGGTTTCTTTCAGCTAAATGTAATAAAATACATTTTCATTAACTTTTTACCCTCAAAAAAATCCTCTGTATCCTCTAGAGAGATGCTGCCTCTTTAACCATTTAATGTACTAAATGATCAGCTGTGAAGAAGTTGAAGAAATGCATGGCAAAGATCTTCTACAGTCTTTAAACTGTGGGAAAATATGTATACTCTTTTTTTTTTTAATTTCTTTTAGTTTGTTCTATATTTCTTCAAATTCTTTTTACGTATTTAGAACTTACCCTGAGAAGAGATCTTATCACAAAGAGATGCTGTGCCATTGTAGAACATAGAAAGGACTGCTAATTACAAAATACAAAGGCACCTCTTCCTTTATTCAAGAATAAAATGTGGGAAGAGCCATCCTCAAAGTATTTGAATTGCAAGGACTTGTGCACTTATCATCTGTGCTTAGAAAAGGATGATGTTTTGTGCTAGGAGGTAAACTGTGTTTGCTCTGGACTATAAAGGAAGCATAAAGAAGGAAAACAAAATTTTCTACTCTCTTGTGCATTCAGGGGCCTACGTCACATCATTTCAGACCATCCCGATTATGCTGGAATTCCGCAAAACCCTATACTTGACATGTTTCTTCAGTGAGATGGAAGAAGGAACATGATTAGTCCACAAGAGCCTGGGGAAGTATAAGTGCATTCTGTAATCTTTTGGGGATATTTTCAACATTACACTGCATATAAATATTTAACAACAACAACTTAAATAACATTAGATTCAGAGAAATAGTCTTGGACTCAGTTTAAGCTGTCTTCCAATCTGACAGGCTGCTTTCTAATTAAACTGATTTGCATTTTGTTTCCACACTTCTGTTGGTCTAAATATAGTGAGTACCATCTATTCTTCATGTATTATTTATATTTTCTGGGGATCAGGTTTGTACACTTACAATTCTAGTCTATTTGAAACAGTTAAAAAAATTAATTAACTGAGGAATTCATAGAAAGAAACAATAAAGCATGTACTAATACAGTCTACAATTAGTTAAGTTTAAGAGGGTTACATTAGAAACAGTTTACAGTGATTCAGTTCGAAAGTTTCAATTATATTACTTACTGTTTGTGGTTTGCAAAATTTTGCACAATAGTTGTGGAATGGACATGTTACAGGACCTTTGGTGTTTCTACTGCAATATTTATATTTATTTATATATATATATATATATTTATATACCTTATTATCCTGTCTAAGAAATGATCCTGTCACAAGTAAAGATCAATGTGGGATGACAAGCATTATATATTGCTGCTGTTAAATCAATCATTTAAAAATTTATATCCATGAAAAAACTAGCACTGAATGCTGTAGTTCTAATTCTGAAGGACTTAGAATGTTCTAAATCCATAGTTTTATGTTTTGCAGCAAATATCGAGTACACCTAATAATCTGATACTTGGAATAAAGGAATTTTTAATTCTGTTTCTGCTGACTCAAATAGCTATTAAGAGAACAACGGAAGCATATGAACAATATTATTTCCTCAGACTAGATTTTTTCCTAGTTTTTTTTCATCTTACAAACAGGAATGCAAATCCTAGAAATGGAAAATCCACCCAGAAGCACCTGAAGTGGCTAAAATATCACAGTCTGATCAGTGGATGACAAAAGTAGCATTAAGAAGTAAGAAACAATAAGTAGATAATGTGGTCAAGGCACCCAGATTATACTCTGGATGTAACAGCTGTTTTCCCTGCAGAACTGAAAAATGTTAGCGAGTAAATGCAAAAGATTTCTGACACTCACAGGTAATATTCCAAATCACTCTCATCACGTGACTGAAAGATGACTTGAGCCCTGCCATGAGGTGTTGCAAGAAGCCCATATCCTGCTTTTTACATTTTTAAATCTAAAGTGTTTAATATAATCTTATTTAAATGATCATTAAAGATAATTTAGTGTTGAAAACAAAAACAAAAAAGACATAAAAGGAAAATAGAATCTCTGAGACTCATGGACAATATATATGAAAATTTGCATAAAACACCTTTTTCTAAAGTTTCTCTACAAAACTAACAGTCTCCCAGGGTTACTGCAGAAGCTATACATAGATATGTTTTCTGCCCCGAAGTCTCAGTATATAAAGATTTATGCACATAATGATATGTTTAAACATAAATTATGAACACATAAGCTTTTTATATTGAGGCTTCACTGCATACAGATTAGTACTTTAAAATTCTGCTGATCTAACCGGTCTTGAAAATGCTTCCTACTAGATTTTAACTTAGCAAAATCTCCTTCCTGGTTACTCATTCTATCATATGAAAGCAGTTGGAGCATACTGGGGCCTGTAGAAATGATTTTGACTTTAAGTAAATCAAAAGGAAGAGCAGCTAATTCTGCTAACTCTTTTGATAAGAAAATTTTGAACCAGGAAATTTTTTGTTTCATCATGCAAGGTGCATTTTACTAAAAGGAATGACTATGAATTGCCTAGTATTTTTAAATATGCAAGCAGAACAGACTTACATGTTACTTTTTTGTTTCCTAGACAGGAAAAATACGTTCTGAATACACAGACACCACGGATAGCATCTTTTTTTCCTGTTTGGGCTTTTTTTTCTTTTGTTATTAATAATCCCAAGACAGTTTTATTTATCTTGCAACATTATTTCACATTCTGTGTACTTGGCCTAAGCAAAAGACAAAGGTGACTTGAATTCTCTTTGAAACAAAGTTGGGAATACGCTATCATATTCAGAACCTAGGTATGAAAGTGAGATAATTTAGAACTTCTTTGAGTAGTAAAATATTTATTGAAAGGAGAAAGCCACATATAACAGGAAAGATATCTAGGTTTTGAAGCTGTACATGAGTAGTGTACAATGAACAAAACAACCAGTTCAAGTTCTAGTTTTACCAGTTGAAAGGAAAAAGCACTAAACTCGGAATGGGAGAGTTCTGGCTTATTTGTTTTGAGTTTGTTTTTCTGCATGAACCCATTCCTGTTGTGGTTATGCCAGCTTGATCTATCAATCCTAAAAATAGTTTGTGTGTAAATACAATGTACTGCAGTCAAAATCTCACTCCAGTCTAAGCATACCTGAAATTTCCACAAGAATGCTGATTAACACCATTTATACTACTGGGAATGGGTGAATCATTTAAATTTTAGCTTAACAACATCTCTCTTATCCAATCTCTTAGCCTTATCAAGAACCACAGTCAAGAACCAAACTGCTTGCATGCTTTGTGATATCATACTTGAAAGTTTTGAGGTTTCTACTGTTCTACTATCCCCGCTCATCTGTTACTATGACACAGGTTTTCTTTTGCGGTTACAAGACAAAATTTAGCTCAGTCCTTTGGAACAGACATTCCTTCCTAGGAGATAACTGGTGATACACTATGTGGAGTTCAGTTTCTCACAAATGTCATGCATACTGCAGTCATAGGCATGACAGGAACAACACAAGAATGTTTATACATAACTGTGGAGCAGATGTTTAGATTATGAGGAACCACAAAAAACTATTTCCTACAGCCTCATACATCACAGGGCCTGAAAAACCTTCCAGGAACGTAGAGTATAATCAGCACTCAGTAATAAAGACTGACAGTCATAGTTATTACATGCCGTAGGAAAGTATTAGGTACTGGCTATAGGAGAAGCACTTCCTCTATCTCCACAGAAATGTTTTTGTTTTAAAATTTACAGCCACCTCAGCTCCCTAACCCACTTTACCTCCTCTAAGTGGGATGGGACGGAAGGGACAGAATAAAGGGTCAATATTGCTTGGTTCATTCTTCCTATCTGTGGGTTCTAAAAACTCCAAGAAATATATGAAGGAAGAA